TAGGTGCTATAATAAGTATATTATTAATATAAAGTAATATTATAATACTATTTTTATTAATAAGAATATAGGGTTTTTTTAGTAGTAGATAGAACCTTAATTATTTAAAGATAGTAATAATTTACTTATACTAGAGAAAAGGAGATTCTCTTAGTTTATAGAGAGCTCTTTTTAATCTATAAAACTAATTAGATCTATTATTAAACCTATAAAGTTAGGTAATAAAGATATTTTAATCTCTTATAAAAGTATTTAGGAAAGCTATAACTATATTAACTTAGTAAAATTTTAGATCTTTAAGTACTATAATTAGTAAAAAGACTTATAGAGTAATAAGATTAGTAATAGTAGTATAAACTATTTTATTATTCTTATTTTAAAAGTTATTATAGATAACCTATTTTATTTTAATTCTATAAAGTTTTCTATTTATAGTAACCTTCTTATTATATACTTATTTACTTAGGAGATATTTAAAGCTATTTAGGAGCTTTTTAAGCTACTAGTAATCTATCCCTTATAAGCTATTAACTTAAGTCTTTATAGTATTAAAAATAGCTAACTTTAGAGGTTTTTTATTTATTACTTTTTATTTCCTAAAAGTTATAAGTAAGTAAATCTTTAAGCTAAGGGTTTATAATAAGTTAAATACTAAGAAAGTAAAAGTAATTAGTTCTTAGTTTATTTTATTATTAATTAGGTTAATCTCTATAGCTTCTATTTTACTAAATTCCCTATTAAACTTCTTTATATTATATAGTATTTAGGTTCTAAGTATCTAAGTTATTTAACTAGAAGAAGAAGTAGTTATTCTTAGTAATCTTATAAAGGTAGAACTTTTATTACTACTTCTTAGTTTTCCTCTTAGTTTTCTTTATATTAAGAGAGGAATTTAGAGTAAAATATTAAGAGAACTTTACTATTATAAAGTATTAGTTAGTAATTATTATCTCTAAAGAGTAACTAAAGATCTTTACTTTAAAGGAGTAGTAGGAGAATATTACCTTAGAGGAGTAATAAGAAAATATTACTATAAAAAAGAAACTTCTTTTAGTATTAATTATACCTATATATTTATAGTATTAGTATTTAGTATTAGTAAGTATAGTTTTAGATTTAAAGTTAGTAAATTACTTCTCTTACTATTAACTTCTTTTTATTCTTAAAGAAGTTTATTTTTTTATTTTTATTTATTATTACCTTCTAAATCTTAGGCTTCTTTTAGGTATAAATTACTTAGTTCTTCTTATTATTAATCTTATTTAGTAGAATAATAATAATAATAAGACTTAGTATTTATAGTATAAGGCTAAAACTTAGCTTTATATATTACTATTAGTAATTTATTACTATACTTATAGGTTTCTAGTTTAACTTCTTCTCTTAGCTATAAGTTATTAAATTTAACTAGGGGAAGCTTTCTTTTATTTTCTTTAAATATTATATTTTTTACTTACTGAATATTATTAGTTTTTTTAATAAGAATATAGAAAATATTACTATAGAGATTATTATATCTTATAAATCTTTTAAGTTTAGCTTTAAGTTTTATCTTCTACCTCTTTATATATAGATAGCTATTTAGGTAAATATAGATATAAGCTTAGTAGCTTTAGTAGTAAAAGTAGTATATATATAGTTTTTTTATAATAAGAGATATATTAAAGGTATTTATTAGTTTTTTATAAGGACTGATATTACTTTTACTATTAAATAGTAGATTTCTAACTTTTATAGAAGTCTTTATTAATTAGGGCTAAAAAGATTTAAAAAAGCTAGTTTTTATATATATTATTTATGCTTTTTATTATATAGCTTTATTAAAGCTTTTTACTTTCTTATTCTATTAATAAGAGTAAGAGGCTACTATTTTTAGATAGAAACCTTATTTTTAAGTAAAAGGTTTTATTACTTTAAGAAAAGCTATATTATTATCTATAATAACTTTAGAGAAATAAATAATACTATTTATTACTATAATCTTCTTTAGAAACTAGTTTTATAGCTAAATAGCTGCTTCTTTCTTTAATTTAAATACTTAGAATTATTTATAAATTAAAAAAGCTTCTATAATATAGAGATTATAAGTGATACCTCTAAAACCTTATAGTATTAGTTTTAGGAAATTAATCTAAAGCTTTTAAAAAGTTTAAGTTAGTAGTTTTTATTATTTATTACTAGGTTACTATATTAATTTTACTATAAAGTAGATATAATATTTATATTTTATAAGAAGTATTCTAAAGAGGTTTATATTAGTATCTCTTATAGTAGTAATAGTTATTTTTCTAGATAGATACTTTAAATAAGCGTAAAAAGTTTAGTAATCTAGCTTAAAAGAGCTAAATTTATTACTTTAGTTAGAGGGATAAATCTAAAGCTAAAGGACTTATATATTTTATTTAAAATTAGTAATAGCTTTAGATATATCTTTATAAATTAAGGTATTATCTAGACTATTAAAATAGATATCTATTTTCTAAAAAAGACTAATACTAATAATTTATACTATATTATGAGGTTTATAAAGAGTATTATATAGTTAGAAAGTAGTTTTTTTACTACTTAGCTTAATAGTAATCATTTTAGCTATACTAATAGCCTAGCTAATTTAGTCCTTTCTACCTATATAGTTTATAGTTAATTTTTAAAGGAGATCTTAAAGGTCCTTAAAGATAGAGAGATTATTAAAGATATACTTATTAGTATTAGTATTTAATATAAAGAAGTCTATCTTCTTAATAGAAGCTATAGATATAATATATTAGCTTAGTTATACTTCTTAGCTATTATTTTCTTCTTTATTAGCTTTTTTAATAGTATTATATATAAAGAAACTATTAGTCTCTATTTTAATAGTTTAGTTAGTAGAACTATAAATAGAGTATTTAAGTATCTTTATTAGTTACTTCTTAACTTTCTATATATAGTTAACTTTATATAGATCTCTAGTAAGAGATTAAAAGTTAAAGTATAAATTAAATACTCTAAAGTTATTTACTAAGAATAGTAGAAAGGTCCTCTTTTAAGCTTAAGCTAATAAGGTATTTATAAAAGCTTTAGATAGTTAGTTAATATCTTATTTAATATTAGAGTTTCTAAAGATATTATTTTAGGTTTAGCTTTCTAAGGTAAATACTAAAGTAGATACTTATATTATTAATTATTAAGTTATTAGTAGTTTATTTAAGTATTTAAACTTATTATATATTAAGGTATAGTATTTAAAGTATTTAAAGGAATACTTACTATATTTCTTAGGGTATTAAGTTATCTTTTTATAATAGGAGTTATATATTTTATACTTATAGAGGTTCTTAGGATATTTAGTATTATAAGAGGTATAAAGGTTCTATAGTTTACTAGGTTTAGTTACTTAAGGTTACTTCTTAGAGGGAAACCTCTTTTTATTTAAAGAGGTATTAATACCTTAAGAAGCTTATTTATATTATTCCTTTTTACTAAAGCTTCTAAGTTCTTATAAGAGGTTATTATAGGTTTAAAGTTTTATAATAAAATTATTCTCTATAGCGTCTACTTTTACTTAATTAAAACGTTTAAAACCTTAGATAAGTCTATAAGTAAAAGCTATAGTTAATAAGCTTATACTAAAGCTATTTAGTTTATTAAAAGTTAAGTAAAGATTTTATATAAAATCCTTAGTATTACTATAGTTAACTTTAGTTATTTTATTTTAGTTATTATAAACTTTACTTATAGCTAGCTTATTAAACTTCTAGGTATATTCTTTAGTCTTAATAAAGATATAGAAAGCTAAAGCTATAATAAAAAAACTATTATTAATTATTTCTTTTAAGAGATTATATTAGATCTTTTCTATAAATAACTATTTAGTAAATATAAAACTTATAAGTATTAGATTACTTAAAGAACTTAGATCTTTAACTACTATTACTTTATTTTTCTTAAAAACTATATTTCTATTATATCTATTTAGTATCTTTTTAGCTATTAAGTAAAAAAGTAATTTTATTATTTTAAAGGTATTCTTAAGATTAATCTCTTATAGTTTAAAGCTTATAGCTTTAGTTAGTTTAAAGATAATATTATATACTAAACTTCTTAGATCTAGTTTTTTACTAGCTACTTTCTATATAGCTACTCTAGCTATAAGGTTTATAATAGAAAAAGGGGGAGGGTTAGTTTAAAATAATCTCTTTTTAGTAGAATTAGAAGAAGATAGAGTTAGATTATTAATTAAAAATATATTAATTTATTTAATTAATTTAGTAGTTTAAGAGAGATTTAAGTAGTAATTAGGAGTAATTATTAGATAGTTATTAAGTAGTTATTACTATATAACTATAGTAATTATTAAATAATTATTAACTTTAGTAGCTTAAAAGCTAAAGAGATTTTATAAATAGGGGATATATATTATAATAGCTATAACTTCTACTTAGAAGTATTACTTCTAATAACTTAGTAATCTATTAATTACTTTATAGTAATTATTAGACTATAAAGTTAGAGTTTTAATAGCTACTTAGGAATAATTTTACTATTTTAGTAGATAGATTTAGGTATTTAGAGAGCTTATAACTTATGTGAAGTAGCTTAATTAATCTAGCTATAAGTACTGGGCGTAGCTAGTTATAAAGTGGTGTAGCTGATCCCTTACGTAAAGGTGGGATTTGGGCTGGGATTTGGGCCTTGGGCCTGGGCCTGGCTGACTACCGTCTCGCACTAGGCATACTGGAGTTAAACAGCTGATTGTGAGACACCTAACACTGCCCTGTGCTATGATTTGAACTGCCCACTAAGAATCTCCTGCTCCCCTGTCCGGGACGAATTAGCGGACGCCACACGGCACTAAAGGATGCATGTCAGCCTATCCGGCTCCTCACCGTTCTGGGCAGCTGAAAGTAGGCATTCTAGGGGTCCATGCGACAGAGCCTACAAGTTGGGAGGCAATCGCACAATTCGTGATACGATATCATTCACTAGATGTACTACAATAATAGCCTCTTGTCAACGAGATGAACAGAGGCAACAGAGTTGCCGTGATTGGCATGGGTTAGTCCACGTCTTCGTTCTCTCTCTTCGTCTCGCTAACGACATCAGGATCATTGGGCCTCGTCGCCTTGAAGAACTGTCTAGAAGAGGGCTTCGAGGCGATCGGCTTCGAGAGGAGCTCATACGTTGGTGGCCTCTGGAAGTACACCCCAGATGAAAACAAGACTTCTGTGCTTCCAAGTACGATCTCTAGATTTGCCGTTCTTGATACCAAAGTCCATCAATAACACGCCATAGCCACTATCGTCAATATCTCTAAAGAGAGGGTATGTCAGTCTGGAGAACAGCGATTCGGGGCTCCCGCTAACCACACTTCAATAGGGGTGTTTTACAGACTTTCCGTTTCCAAAAGGTAAGCGTGCACTGATTTATCGACCGACGTTACTCGTACTCAAGCTTCATCAGAAGTACCAAGCCAATGCTCGGCCAAGCAAGTTGAAGATTACCTCGAAAGCTACGCAGACCACTTTAAGCTACGTCCTTTCATACGTCTCAGTACGCAAGTGGGACGTGTGCATCATGACGAAAATACGAAGAAATGGGTCATTGAGATCGATGGCTCCCCAACCGAAATCTTTGACAAGGTCATTATCGCAACAGGCATGAACCAGACGCCCAACTACCCTGAAATTAAGGGTATCCAATCTTTCCCCGGCCGACAAGTGCACTCGAAATCGTTCAAAAAGTTTGTAAGAAAGCCGGCCTGTAGTCTGAGGCCATTTTCCTAACGCAATAGGCCAGACCAGAAGAGTTCAAGGGGAAACGTGTCCTCGTTGTTGGTTTTGGGAACAGCGGTGCTGATACGGCGGTATCCCTCATCGGACACGCGAAGATTTACATCTCACATAGAGAAGGCGCTTATGTTGTAAGTTAGACCATCCATTTGCTCCAGCTTGCGATCGACTAAAAGTTGTTCTAGATTCCTCGCGTCAACAAGGGGAGACCTATTGACCACACAATCAACGTCCGCTTCACGAAAGTTCAGGCGTTCTTGGAATACTTTTTTCCGAAGGCAAGCGAGAGCTTTTTCAACAGGGTGGTGAAGGGGCTGCAAGACAACAACTTCAAAATTCGACCGGAGTGGAACCTCTCTCCAGCCCCGTCTTTGAAAACAACCAGTCCGGTGGTGTCAGACGAGATCATTCCCGCACTGGAACGTGGAGACGTGGACTCAGTAACTGGCATCGATGAAGTGACCGGCGACGAAGTTGAGCTCACTGACGGCAGAGTTCTTCAAGTGGATGCCATCGTTTATTGCACTGGATACAAGGCCGACTTCAGCATCCTTGATCCGAAGGATGACCCAGCAAATACGCCGAACCCAGAGTGGGTTGCTGCGAAGGGAGCGAGGGGCAAACCGCTTCCGAGGCTCTACAAAAATGTTCTGTCTGAGAAGTATCCGGAGTCTCTTGCGTTCATGGGTTGCGTAGCCTTTGCAACTGGCGCATTTCAGCTGTATGACCTAGCAGCTATGGCGATTGTTCAGATTTGGAAAGGAGCTTCGCCCTTGCCCTCCGCGGAAGACATAGCACGTTCAATTGACAGGCAGCATGCATGGACAACAGCCTTGGCTAAGGAGAGAAAGGTCATGCCTGCAGTCGTGAACGGGCTTGAATGGACGGCTTGGGCTGACCGTACAGCTGGCACTGGCGTTGACGTATATTTAGGCTGGGGATGGAAGGGTTGGAAGTTCTGGTTCCAAGACCCTCAGTTCTGCGGTCTTTTGATGGGTAGTGTTTATAGCCCGCACATTTATCGCTACTTTGATGGGAAAAGGAAGAAGTGGGACGGAGCGAGAGCTGAGATTGAAAGATTGCATAGAGTAGACTCAGCAAAGTCTAAGACTGTCTAGTGTTGAACCAACCTGCACTATTCATGTGCCAGCTTATACTAAATGCATCTGTGTCTGTCTAGCTCCCATCCTGTAAGATACATTCCCTCTTGGGAAAGATCCAAGCTTCAGGTTCTCAATTGCTTCTCCATCCATGATACCACTGACATAACAAGGGCTGATTAGCTGATATGTCGACGGTTGGGTGCTTTCCCTCAGGACTACCGGAAGTCTACATCCGAATAGGATGGCGATTATGTCACCCTCTCTTATGGAAATCAGTCCCCTGCCAACGTAGTTTGTCTCAGTTGAAAATATACTCGTCAGATTTCCATTGGTTGCTTCTTCGGTCCGTAGCCTGTATTCTTCACGACGCCAATGAAGCTCTTCCGGATCTGTAGCTTCAAGACGCCTATACTCTTCAACTGCCAACTTCAATACCTCTGATTGATGTATTCCTGGCCTCTTGGAATCTGCCCGCTTCATATGTCGATGACACCTGGTCTCGTGATTAAACGTGTCTAGCTCATGAAGGAAGCCTACAGCAAGTCGAATCAGGCTTTGGTCTCCAATCGGATCCTTCACTGTGTTACCACCATGTAAAGTGGCATTATCGAAGACCATGGTCTCAAAGAAAGCTTGTAGTTGAGGCTTTCCAATCGGGTGTGATCCCATAGACTGCGGGTCTATTTGTTCAAGAACTCGTCGTCGTTTCTCCTCTCCGGTTTGCAACGGGACATTTTTGCAGATCACATCTAGTTTTACGCCGTCGATGGTGAGTATATGTGCGTTGAAATTGATCACACCTATTTGTCGATTGATCGGTGCCCCCTTTGATGCATTGAAGTACTCCAGGTAGCTAGCTGCCACATATCGAATATCAATGCCATTCATGCCCCGGTAGTCAGGCGTCCAAGAAGGGAGGCCGATGTTATTCCCATTCTCGGGATTCCAGGGCCCCGCGGTTAACAAAATTGATTAATCGTGATCATGGCCGATAAGAGTTCTTGTGAAATCGATGTATACGTCTCTCACGGGCTTAGAATAATCTGGCGATGGGAACAAGCCTGTGTTACAAACACCTAGCAGAGCAAAGAGTTTATCGCGAGGATCGGTTGCTTTGAGGTTTCTTGTAGGCTGTAAAACGTTCGTCATGTCACGAGCATCCACTCGATCCATGAAGAATTGAGTAATGCCAAAGAAGGCACGGCGGAGAGCCAAAATCCATCCTTGTCGGATCTCTAGTCCCGGCCAAAGCCATGGACTCCCGGTTATTTTGTCCAGCCGCCGTAAAGCACCCCATGTGGTCGTAAGAGGGCCACAGTAAACTGTCGTTGACCGAGAGAGTATGACCTCTTGAAAGATCCACATGCGTGTCCAGTACGGCCGTTGCAGAAGCTCTGTCAATGCTCGCCCACCGACCTCGTCACTAATGACTCTTTGTATAATCTCTTCATCCGATTCAAGATCGTGGCAATCGTTGAGAAGTTTCATCGCAACTCGTGATGTTTCTGATGTGTCTCCTAACCAAATCACTACGTGGTGTGCCTGAGAGTAGATCCAGCCCATCAGCTGGACTTGCGAATTTCGCTCGATCGTATCAGCTTGGTTGATGCAGATACAGTCGATCCAAAGCCTGGTAGCTCGCGATGGGTGCCTCAAGTTTTGAATGGCTAGTCGCAAATTTTGAGTCACAGGGAACTCTTTACCGTTGACAATTATCCGGTCGCTGTTGGAAAAGCCGCCCCATGTGTAGGAAAGGGCGTCATAGTGTTTGTGTTGGTTTTTGAAATTCTCGACAATGAGGTCGGCAATGATTGGCGACGTAGTTGAGGAAGCTGGTCGCACACTCAAAATACGAAACTGGTCTATTGCAATCGGAAGGGAGTAGTAAACTGGGAGTGTCAGCCTCACCAGTATTTCCAGAACGTTTTGCAATTAGACCTAAAAATCATACTTACTGTCCTCCAAGTGCGGCACATATCTCGAAGCCTCAAACATCCCCCGGGTATGGTTCATGACCCTGGAATTCCCAAATCGACTTCCCCGGTCCCCAGGTATTCTGTCCTGTTCAGGGTGCAAGCTCGCTCGCACGATGAGAATACTGCCTTATAAAGGCACCAGGTGTACGAGGGGCGTGCTGGGCCGGGACTGAATCTGGGCCTTGTCCAAAGCCGACCAAAATGGTGCGCTTCTCAATCCTATGACCGGGCCGTCCGTATAAGGCACACCGATCGACCGCGTGCTGGTAGTAAAGCTCACGTGTATCTCCGTACAGCTCGACGACCTGATTGCACATGTTCGGTAGGAAAACCTCAGACTAATACAAAATAATAAAAAGGCAGAGTTGAGGTGACTATGGCTGAGTGCCCGGAGGCTGAAGAATTTGACGTCCCACATGTCGCGTTCCGTTCCGTGTTGGCGTCGCATTTCTTATCAGCGCTCCTGTCCATTCATCCAAGCATAATGAGATGTTAGGCATCAACGCAGGCTTATGGACTGGTTACTATTCCGAATTTGGAAATCATACCGGCTCGCTGCACCAATGGTACCAAGCCAACGACCGCCTTGCGTATGCCAAGCTGGCATATCCACGAATCATCTCACTTGGATAGGGGCATATTCAGGAACTGTGATGTGTCTTGCAAAACCATGATGTGATGTCAATATGAAAAAGTATGGCAGCAAGCATGGTTCACTTTGCAGTAGGCTTGCATAATCACACAAGAGTGTCCGCCGATAAACCTTCTCGTAGAGGTGATCCTTTCGAGATGACGGGACGTATCTAATTCGCAGGATTGTCCAGGCTTGGACCTTGCATGAATATGCGATAGTTTTACTGAAGCATCTTATCAAATTTAGGATCAAACTGCGTTTTCAATTTTATGTTTCACGAAGAGGTGCGAGATCGAATCTAACTGACCTTCGCATAGAAGTGTCTAGTTGGAGAAAGAACGTGCCTAGGCTGCAATTCGACAGAGCTTAGGACTATGGCAAAAACCAAAGACTCAGTAGCTACCATTCACTTTGTGATATGACTCCAATCGTAGTCAGAACGCCTCACACCCTGGGAACGGCACCTTGGTTTGGAAGCTTCTTTCGCACAAAAACCGCTATATTGCCGACCTAGGCTACAGGCATCTTTTCAAAGGTCTCCCGCACTCTTGCTTTCGATGATCATCAGATGTTTACATCATCGAGATTGGGCGAGTCATGTGTGTAGAGACACAGCGTTTATTTTCCTTTGCTGAACCACCTCGAAATTCTCTCAAAGTAGTGTCTACGGCCTCCGTGGCTCGACATGTGTTCATTTTCCGTTTCAGGGCCATAGACTTCCTTGTTCTGGACATACCCCTCTTCCGGGAACGGGCTGACGCCATGCTTTCTGTCATGCTGCGAGTCCACACCCGCAAGGTGATGTGTTGATCTTGTTTCTAAATAAACACTGACACTCTCTTCACTACTATCGGAAAGCTGCGTATCGGTCCTGTGGTAGGGACTATCATGCAGCTCTACTCTATGGCCATCAGACTCGAAGTCCGGTTCGGCTTTGTCGTTCTGATCGCGAGCCTCAGTCCCATCCTCCAACTCCCATTGATCAGTGTCTCTGAGGCAGAACATGGCCATGCAGCTCTCTATGCGCGGTCCCGGGTGTCTCTCGCACGAGTCTTGTATCTCTTCAGTATTGCGTTCGATGATATGCCCCGGAGCGTTGGCTTGCGCGCAGTATTTGATGTCTTGCTCGGAAAAGAAGCAATGACAGTCTGGGTAGACTTGAATGTTGAGAAGATACATGTTGAAGTAGGGGGTTTGTGTAAACAACAATTGCGCATGAATTCTTGCTGATGTTTCCGTCGCTTCATGATGGATATGATAATGAACGGGTCAAAGGTGTTGAGTGTCTGGACATTGCTGGGTAATAGGGAGGGGACTCTAGGGAGAAGACTCTTACGGGTCTCCCCCGGGTCTTAAATTTGAACCTCGATGCCAGACACAAGGAGTGGCGAGAGAAGCGCAGGATTGGGCTGCACAACCGTGCGGCACAGGTCATCGTGGATCATGTGGTCAAGTCTTCATCGTATCTGTGACAAAAAGCCACCGGGGTATCTTAGCATGCTTTGATTTTGTTTGCCTTTCGAGTTCCAAGTCTGTTCCTGGACCAGGCTTTGAACTTTCGATTCGCGGCGAACTCGCTGTGCCGCCTCCTTGCCCGGAGTCAACGCGCCATAAGTTCTAGATGCTAACACTGTCATGACCCCTCAATGGCCACAACCGCACCAACACGCATGAACACGCACCTTCCAGCAACCAACAGCCCAATGAGCACAATACTCATTCTTGGAAATTCAGGGGGACCTGGTTCTCAGCAATATTCCTAGAATTTCCTCTGCTGCATCTGCGCCATTTCGAGTCATCTCATAAGCGGCTGTTGGTTTGCCCATCACCGGTGCGACCGCGGTTGATTTCCGGCCCCCGAAATAGTACCATGTTCGTGGAGACGCGTTGCAGTCGTCGCTGAAATCGACTTTCTGCGTCCGTGGATATATGAGCATGATTTTGCCTCTGAACTAAACCACCATACACATTGGACAGAACGCTGAACTTACCTCCCATGCAATACAGCTTTCGGCTGCAGGTGGACGTCGTGCAGGGGGTAGGAACGGGAACCAGTCGAGCTGATGACCAACCTGATGCTCAAATTTCAGTCTTAATGGAAGAAAGAAGACTGGGGAAAAAAACAAAACTTGTGACAGCTGTCGAGATTTTGTAGCCTCAGATCTGAGATCCATGCTGTTCTGGTGGTTAGACGGTATCAGCTTTGCCTGCGTCTTTCATTCATCCGCTACTTAGCAAGACTGTCTTGCCGGCATGTATCATTCACCGGGTAGACTTCGGGCAATCAGACATTGTCGCGAGGGAAACTTTCGACATCAACGGCCGCGAACTTTGGAGATTTCGCCAATTGAACACAATGAGTATCTGAGCTTCTGTCCTGCAGCAGGTTGGCCCTGACGAAGCCCAATCTTTCGCCCGCTCAGCGCCGTTCGCTTCGCAAAAGTATGTACATGTTTGAAAGCAATAATTTACAGACGAACGTCGCAAGTACACCAGAAATTCCCAGGATATGGGTCCGGGCGTTGCACTGTGTCAAACAATGTCAGCAAAACTTTGGCGATCCAATATCAGAGGGGGGGAAACATACATTAGCAAGGGCCGTCGTAGTGTGCGGTGAATCCCACGGGTGCTGTGTTGTATCCGGTGTTGCTCACCGACACGCCGCAGTCTGAGTTGGCCTGGAGGTACACACTTGCGCCATTGATCGAGGCGGTCGTCCCCTCGTTCTTCTGGAGGCACTTCTGCAACACGTTGTTCCCGGTCGACTTCTCTTGAACCCAGAAATGGCAGCCCTGTGCCGTTGCTGTGGCGGCGAAGACGGCGGTCAGGACGAAGGTGAAGGGCTGCATTGTGACTGTAACTAGTCTTTTGATTAGTTTGCATGACTACTTTGAAACGAGGAGCGGACTTGATCACACCTAAAGAATGTTGGTCGATGATTCGGCAGGAAGGATTGGCTAACAAGGAGAAGTGAGCTGGGAAGTATTGGTGAGAGACGGTATTCACGACTTCGTCTGAACGTCTGGCGTTATCCGCTTTTTATTTGAGAAAATTGAAGCTTGGACTTCGCAACCTAGCGGGAGGTTCATGGGGTTTGACTCGTTGTATAATATCACTGATACAACAGACTCGTTATCTGATACTGCCCTGCATGCTGGCGAAAAGTTTATGTCATTACCTCAATGTCAGTTCCCACAACAGTTTTCCCCGAGATACTTACAGGGATTCTCTAGTTAGCCGGGAACCCCTTATGGAAATCCACGCCAACGTGTCTCCGGAATGAGATTGTAGTTGATATTGAAGTACATACACATCGTCTCTAAATGGTATAGAGTTTTGCTATCCGGGCCGTAAAAAGCATGGCTGCGCCCTGAGATCTAGTCGTAGATAACACTACACCACAGGCGACGGCGGCCCAGCAGACCTTAGACGCAACGAGTAAATTGGAGACCTGGAAATTCCGGGCCGATCGGGATCGATTTCGAAGCCGAGCGCATGTTCGTCTCAACTGGGGCTTGACGCGAGTCGTTCAAGTTCACGCCAACGCCATTGAGTCAATCACTGAGCTCTTGGCGTCGCTTGTGAATCTCTAGTTCCGCTTGGCAATTAAATTGCAATTCTCAGCGGTCTGAAAATGCCTTTATCACCGCATCCGTTCCCGCCCGCTGCTCATGTACAGTCTCCATCCAACACGATATCTCTCCAACCACGGGAAGTAGCAGCCTCAGTACATCCTTGTACCGGCCTCTGTCTCGATCGTCTTGCAGTGCTTGACCTGCTTCGATGGCAAAATCGAGACATGGCCGGTCACATACGTCGCGAATCTTAGTGATGGTCGCATCGGCCCCGTGGTCTAGCAGCAATTCGACCGTCTTTGGGGCTCCGTACTCAGCAGCCAGATGAAGCGCCGTCTTGCCATTTTGTCGGCCATGCTGACTTCCAAGCTCTTCGGATTCTGTGGTTAATCCGTGATTTATCGACGACGACTGACTTTCGTTCGCCGGTGAAGAGTTTCACTCGGGAGTTGAAGGAACATTTCTGCGATTTCGATACGACCACCTTCTCCTTCGTAGCGGAGAGACGTACGTCCATTACAGTCAGAAGTACCGCTCTCCGTATTCGGAAGGCTGAGCAAATAGTTGACCGTCCCAGCTTCTCGGAGTGATGTCGCCCAGCGAAGTGCTGTCTGTCCGCTATGATCTTGTGGATTCATATTGTACCCGTGGTATCTCGAAACCCTCAAAGTCCCAACATAACCATGTGCTGCAGCTTGTTGAGCTGCTCCGATTGGAATTTCAGGTGACGAATTAGTAGGATAAGTCTTGATATCGGTTCGGTCTCTTGACCCTACTGCGTGACAACTAAAAACAAAAGAAGGAAAAGAAAACCAATGCATCAAACCGCCCTTGTTTACTTAACGCCGCAATCCCAAAACCTTCCATCGCCAATATCCTACTAAAACAGTCTGCAGCAACCTTTCATTCTGTTCATAACGCGTCAGCATTCAGTATTCAATTCTGCTGGAACAGAGGTAATAACTCACGCCCGAACCCCGTCTTGTCCTCATATCGGTATGTGCAAGCCACGTCAAGCAGCATCTTGGATGAATACACGTTGTCGCGAGCAGAGTCGGCGATGAGATCAATCTGGCGCAGTTGCGAGTGGTCCTCTGTCGTGAGGATGGGCGTGTAGAAATGGGCTGCTGTGTGAGGCAGGTTCTCTTTTCCACCATCATCGCCTGCAAGCCACGACTCGCGACCGCGCAGGTTGTTGAGGAGTGAATAACGCACCCGATGTCGTACCCAGAATACAACTTGCTGCAGGTTGATTCTGCCGATTCTTGTCATTTCAGCGTCGTCGTGTGCCAACATCAGGCGTCCCTTCCAGGTTGGAAGGTGGAAACCAGGGGGGGTGGATAATCCCGACATTGTTAGGAAACGAGCTGCCGTTGCCATCAACCTTGGGATAAATGATCTCATCAGTCCAATGGCGGTTGACCTTGAGGAAGACCGGTGCCCCGGCCTTCCTGCAAGGCTTCACCTTGTGGGGTGATGGCGTGGGGGGTTCGCCCGTCGCGGTTCTCTTGTTGCCCGACTTGCTGCTTGATGTGCCAGGCGCTGGCGCGTCTTCTGCGAGGACACCTATCTGAATCGCGGTGTGAGAGAATTCTCTGTCGGGGATCTTGTCGGGGACCGGAACTTCGTCGTTTGATGTCCACCCCTTGAAAACCGAGACCCAAAGCTTCTCGCGAGCCTCAATCCAAGAGCTAGCAGTCTGTTATGCATCGGAATACTTGTTGTACCGGCACAGCATATTCAGCAGAGAGACATGTTATTTGCAGTTAGAGATACCGCATTTTGTATTCGGAAAGACTAAGTAAATAGCTAGCTATATTGGTTTCTCTAAGCAATATCACTTAGTGAAGTCTTATCATTTTGCTATAGTTTTATAGATTTATATTAAACTTTTAGTCTCTTGAAACCCTTAAAGTTGTAAGATGACTATATGTCACAGCTTGTTGAGTTGCTCAAATTAAGTCTCTGAGAGATTCCGTTGATTGCAGGTCTGTATCATCCCCAGAGCTGCAGAGTCGATCCAAACGAGTGCGCGGCGCTTCAGCTACCCGGAAGCATTCGCAATACAGGTTTGGATCGGAATGGCGACATGGATCCAATTTTCGCGTCAGGGCGTTTCTCGGGATCTCTGTTTATTATTTTTCATAAATCCAAAGATGGTAATAGTACCGCTGAGGCATTATGTTTTCCCTTGTACGTGGAAATCGTTTTTGGGGCTTGATCACATAGGCAAATCCAACTTTTCGGGTTTTCGGAAACCGAACTCGATGTTTTGGGTATGGTTCCAAATACAGTTACACCCTTCGCTGAATCTGAAATCCGGTAGACTAGATAGAGAAGGGATTGGAAGGCCACAGAACACTTCGTAGCTGTGGAAGAGGCTTCCACTTCTTATCGATGACCCTAAGGCTTTCTCCTTGACCCGACTCCGCTGATTCAACATCTTGTACCCCTGAGCGTTGAATTCGAGCAAGATCTGCTCTATATAGAGGTAATCGCGGGTATTCGTGTTCGGCCATATGAGTTGACAAATGCACAACCTGCTTCATGGTGGTCTCGGCTTCGACCAGTCTCCCTCCTTTCTCCTGAATCAGCGCCCGATTTCCCATCAATTGTACTGTCATGGGGCCTTTCCCCCCATCAACGTGGTCCGTCAAGATCTCTAACGCCCCTACAAGAGCCCTCTCAGCCTCTTCGAATTTGCACTGATGACAAAGACTCATGCCTAACTCGCTCTTGCATCTAACAAGCTCCACGTATAACTCGCTGGTTTGAAACCCCATATGGTTATCTCGCAGAGCCTGAAGGCAGACTTCTTCCGCTTGTAAATAGTCTCCTTGCTGCCGGAGTAACTGTGCCTGATTTGCCACACTTCTTAGTAAGACTGGATGACTCGAGCCGTAAAGCCTCCGAGTAAGGTCGACGGCCCGCGCACATATCTCGTATGCCATAGTTGATTCGCCAAATTCAATCAAGACCTTCCCCAGGTCCGACACAATAGTTGCTTGCAAGGCATGGACAGCACCAGTAACGGTCTCGCAGCGATGGAACGCTGTCTTGAGCAAGCCTTTCGCCACCTCAAGGTTCTTTTCAGTATGGTATATATGAGCATATATCCCCAAGGACTGAATTATAGCGGGATGGTTGTGTGGGTACATCTCCCCCTGCAAGACCATGACTTTGGAGATGATTCGTTTCGCCTCTTCTGTTCGCCCAAGTTCCCCAAGCGAAGAAGCCAAGAGTTGCATGTTCCCCAGAACATGGGGGTGCTTCTCGTCGAGCTTGTATTTGGCTTCGCTGAGAGATGTCTCCAGATGCTCTACGGCAATGTTGTGCTGCCCGAAACTACCGTAGAAGCATGCGACATTTCCCCTTAGCAAGGCCTTGGACGAGTTGTTTTGGGGTGTGTCTGCGATCTTGCTTCCCAGCACTGAGCTAGCGTGGGGTATCATTTTGCTACACAGCTCGAAGTTGACTGGGGCGTCAGTGGGAAATACCATAGAAAGTGCCTGGAGGGCCTTCCCGGCGAAATGTGCTGACATATTTTTTTCATCCAGCGAGCGTTTAGTAGCCAGGTGTATGAGCCGATGCATGTCGATGCTCTGGTCTTTGCTTTCAGAGACAAAACAGAACGCCTTGAGAACTCCAAGTGCTTTCTCGAGATCGACTGAAGACGTTTTACGTTTGCCTTCATTTCTGATACTAGGGCAAGAGTCGCGGTCAACATTCTTTCTAATAATGTTTGAATGCGTGAACTCCCTGTGTTCGTTCTCATTTTCCAACGGCCCCCTCATTGCGACACATTTGTCGTTATCAAGGAGCATACTTGCGTTCTCCCCAGGCAGGCTTTGTATGTACGCCGTCAGAAGCTGTCGTGGAATAGCCTGCCGGTCGAATGACGTGATGAATGACAGCAAATGATCTGCTAGCGGATCGCGTCTTTGGATCTCGTTAAAGGATACCGCCCACGTGGCCATGATTGCGTGCGGAATCCCAGACTCTCTTCCCACAGCCTCAAAGTCCTGACTCAGCAATCCGAGCAAAGCATCGTCACTCTCCGCCAGTATCTCAAGGTAGCGAGCTATGCTTATGCTGTTTTCCTGGATAAAAGCGGCAGCCTGGGCTAGTGCCAGGGGCAGGTTCTCCAGGCGGTTGGAAAGTGCCAGGATATCCGCGTCGATGAGCTGCGAACTGCTGTCTCCAGTAAACTTTCGAATCATTTCTGCAGACTCGTCGCTGCTCATGGCCTCTATTTCTAAAGGCGGGTGGCCCTT